TGTATATATAAAATCTCAAGCTTCAGAGTTCCAGGCTGGGCAATGTAGAAACAAAGAAGTTCAAATACCACCCTAACTAGAAGCTGAGGCTTTATCAGCCATAGTTAAAAATTATCTCAGAAGATGGAGTCTAGTAAACTTGTAAAATTTTATTTATTTATTTATTTATTTGTTTGTTTGTTTGTTTGTTTATATCCCACCTATCTGGTCTTGCGACCACTCTAGGCGGCTTCCAACACATAAAAATGACAGATCAATATAGCAGAAAGAAAAAATAAACAATTTCTTCAAGATGGGAGGAAAATAACAGAAGAAAAATGAAGAAGGAAAAGTTAAGTATTAACTGGAGGGAAAGCCTGCTTCAACATTCAAGTTTTTAATTGGTTTTTAAAAATACCCAGCGAAGGGGCCGCCCGAATCTCTGGAGGAAGGTTGTTGTGTAAAAGTAGCTGGAAGTGTGTTCGTATAAAATGTTAGGATAGACAGTCAATTGCCACTCTCCACATCTATAGAGAAAAGGGTGTCAATTAATCCCCACTGCCTTTTGTAGAAGCACATGACTTGGCTGAGACTAAAAACATGACAATTCCCATGTCAGAAAGATGGAGATTAAATTTAGTGGCTTGCTAGGCCAAAAATTGTCAGTTTGAGCCAAATTCAGATTATTATGTAGCAGATAGAGGAGGATGCAGTCGTCAGTGTGGTGCAGTCCTATTTGAGTGATTATAGATCTTCTTGATGGGGTTGTAGGTCATATCCTATATACTCAGGGCATTTTCCATGGTAAAACAACTAAATTAAAAGCCCATATTCTCCTTGCACAAAATCCAAAAACAAGAGTGGATGGACTAATAAAGTTTGAGGAAGTGGAGTATAATCCACAAAACTCATGTGCAATGATTTTGTTAATCTCAAAGGTGTCACACTTTGTTATTCTCTTAGTGCCTCTGACTTCTCTCTCCATACAAGCAATACCTGACTAGGTCCTGAGAGACTGAGAAATATTGCAGTGTATGCCTTATATCAGTGGTCCCCAACCTTGGGTCTCCAGATGTTCTTTGACTACAACCCTTGGAAATCCTGACAAGCACAGCTAGGAGTTTTAGACCAAGAACATCTGGGGGACCCAAGGTTGGGAGCCACTGCCTTATATTTATGTATTTATATCCCACCCATCTGATCAATTGACCACTCTGGGTGGCTAACAACACTTGGAAAGGATTGTGCATGGCATTTATAGCAGCTCCAAACAAAATTCAACCATTTTTTCCTCAAATTTGGCTTCTGATGGCCATGCTTACTAGGTTTTCAGTACATTGTCCATAAAGGCTATTTGAGGCAGTGATTGCGCGGCGGGGAGGGGGGGGGAAGAGTGTCTGACAGAATGCTTCCTTGCTGCTTCCTTATTGCCTTATCCTTAGGCAATTGGAAATGAATTTCTATAAAGAAGTAAGGTAATTTTCTTCCCAAATTGTCATGATTTCAATGTGTGCCCAAGGCAAGGGAATTCCTAGGCTTCATCTTGCCAAATCTATCAGTGCCTCCCATGTTTCATCTCACTTCCTATTTATAATAATGATCTGCTCTAGGGATTAAAATACTGAATCATGAATGGGTGATTAACATTGGTATGACCTGAAGGAACAAAGGCATGCATTAGAACCTCCTCTCATGATCATTTTAATGGATTTGAAGGAGTGATTCTCTTTGAGATTACTACCAGAACAGTTCATCTTGGATCGCTCATTTTAAGAGGCAGTGTAGAATTGCAGCAGCAGCAGCTGATGATGATCATGTGAAATCTCATGTAGTTTCCAGTGGTTCCATAGCTCAGCAAAGGAAATTTAGAGCAAAAACCTATTATAACATTTCTTATTGAATGAATAGATAAGGAAAGTAGCCAGATCAGTCATTGAACTTCCAGGCAGCGAGCTACAATATTTGTAAGAACCTATAAGGTCTCTGGGAGCAGGCTTTTCTGGCCATGTAAAAGACAGCTAATAGAAATTTGCACCAATAATTGGAAGTGGAGTTGCTACACCAGGCACACTGAAGAGACTTCAAGTTCAAAAATACACATTTGAAGGACTATATTTCTTTCCCCAACACTGATGAATGAATGAATGTATGAATGAAAAGCTGTTGGTCTGATCTACTGGTATTCCAGGCAGATAATTTTTGCATTGACAAAGCAGGAACTTTCTTTATGGAACTTTCTTCAATCCCTAGGCACTGAATTTGTTATAGAAAGTTTTTTTTTTAAAAAAGGAGAGAATGGAGGGTGCTCCACCCAACAGGAAAGGAAAATGCTGTGGGCATCTATGTGGAAAAGCAGATAAAGATTACATTACAAACTTCACTGGCTCCCCTCTGTGTTGTTTAGTGTATTAAGCAAGATGCTGCATATCCAGCTTCTTTGAAATCTAATTTCCCAGATTTGGAAGCATCTTCTATCTATAATTTTAGATGCATGTCTATTCACTGTGCTGTTGGTAATTTTGCCCCTTTTTATTTAAATTTAAATGTTGCCCCTTTTTATTTAAATGAGGGGGAGGGGCATGGTATTGCTGACATATATTTCATTAAATCCAGTGCTCTTGTTTTGCCTGTTCTTGTTTAAAATGTTCATTTTCCTCCTTTTATCTCAAAAGGATCAACAAACTCAGACATTATTCCTGTTTAGCAGATGATGAGCTAAGAATGAAAAAATAGTTGTTCATTTACATTGCATCCAGACCAGCTGAAATTAGAGACATATTCACAAACACAAGAATATGCTTATAATGAATCCTCAGCTATATTGCCTAATCTTGTTTATAAGGAATGATCAATTATACTGCATAATCTCACTCAGACTGCATAATGTTGAAGCAAAACCTGCCAAAAATGTTTTTACATAGATGAACAATAAAAGGAAACCTGTACTGTGATGTACACATCAAATATCGCACTTGTTTTGCCTTTTCATGTGACCTGACTTGAATAACCTGGAGTTCTTCAATCTGTAGGTTTCTTTTCTACAGTTTTTTTGGTTGCCAAAAGTTCTAGTCCAGGCTAAGGAGATTTTTGTACAGCAGAATTAATCTACCGTGTGACAATAAAATTTCATTCAGGTCTCTTCTAGCCTAATAATTAATACCCTTTATTCAGAAATCACAGTGTAAAAAAGTACCTTAAATGACAGTCAATAGGATTCTTTTCAAATCTAAATTTATTACAGTAGTTGCTGTCCCATAGCTGTTCTCACTGAATAATGAGTTCAGGCTAATTTTATTTTATTGCAGAATTATCAATGTTGTATCTTCCAAATACTGCAGGGCAGAGAATAAACTATTTACTAATCTTTCAAGTGGACCTTATCACTGAACTTGTCAGATATAAACTTTACACTACATTGTTGCATATGCAGAAAATGGCTAGGGTGCAATTACCAGCATCTGTAGCATTTCAAGTGGCAGGTGACGTGAAAGATCCTGGACTGACAACTGTTTAGAGTTATAGCCAGCAAGATTAGACAGCATAGGGCTATATAGAACAATGGTCTTAATGTAAGGTAGATTTCTTAAGTTCATAGAGGAGAAGAAATACACACAGACCAGGACTAGCTTCTATTTTAAGAACATACTTTATACAAAATAACAAACTCTCGTGGAAATAAAAATCTACAGATCTCAGAGGATCAAGCTTTTTTTAAAAAAAGCATCCTTTAAAAAACTTACCCAAACACACAATATTATACCAACTATTGAGGTAACTGGTGCTTCAGGGAATCACGGAAATCAGTAGACTGAGACAAAATATACACAATATAAAAATAAATAGCATTCCCCTTTCCAGTTTTGACCAGGAGAGTTCGAACCCAGCTCTTTCCAGAAGCAAAGGAGGAAAGAAATGCTCCCTGATGCTATGCTCCATGGGCTGGCAAAGTGACCAGGGCTTTTCAGGAGCAGTGGAAAAGGCAGCTGAGTGAGGTACCTGAGCCCCAATTGGGGAAAAGAGAGGAGAACAAATGGAACAAGAATTCAATCAGTCACTCTTGGATTGGTTGGGAACTCTCCAAATGATGATATTTCTTCATAGCTTCTTTTCACCACAAGTTCAGTCTGCTGTGGTGTGAAAAGCTCATGCTGACACCCTTTCAGGATCTATTTGAGGAGTTTGCTTACCCAGCCAAATGCTGCCATGTGCAGCCCAGAGCTTGTGTGACTCCTCCCACGAGTTTATCAGTAATATATTTCACAGCTTGATGATAAGAGGTCTCTTAAATTGGTTCATAGTCCTGCTGATCCGAAGATGTTTCAACTGCTTTACAGAAACCAAGATCCAACTTCAAAGGCCTCCAGGTAGACAAATACCAAATCAAGCATGAGCCGTCACGGACAGGAACCTTTTTTCCTTATGCCCTCCACATGGGCAAATTACATTCTTTACAACCTTAATTACAATAATACAGCCCCCTCCCCACACCACAAATGACCCATAAAACAACATTTCAGGACTGATAGAAACTGGCAAAGAACTGTCAAAATTCAACATGGAAATCAGAATATTCTCAGGCCAGATATATTCCCCAGCTATAGGGCTACTTTGTTTCTTTTCTGTTGACCTCATTGTACAAAGACAGATTTCAGCAGTACAGTAAAAAGGACCAGAAAAGCAAATATTCATATTATGTTGGTTTTGTTGCAAATTTTAGGAGCCTGACCCAAAGGGAAAAAATAGTCCCTGACTTCTACATGGCCTCTTTTGCACACCTGCCATGGAATCCTGTGGTTTTCTTCTAAGGTCTCCTACACAACTGGGAAAGCAAGTGAAGGCAGAATGATTTTTTAATTGTTAAATAATTATGTTAGGCTGTAGCGTGGTATCAGGTATTATAGAAAAGAAAAGCACCAACACAGGCAGGTGTAGGGGTGCAAGGGCTACTGTGAGTCTAACTTGTATTTATACACACTTGGAAGGAGAAATCAGCATCAAAACATTTTGAATGCCCTGCTGTTCAATAAACTGCTGAGTAGAGATTCTTAGAATGGCAGTGACTCCTTGTGGTCTGCTAAGAGCGGGGCTAAATCTAAAGCACTGCTCAGATTTGTGGTAGCAATAACAATACAGAGCAAGGTAATCTAATCTACAGCAACAATTTGGCAGCCTTTCCTAATTCCCTAAAGAGGATCTGGTATTGTATCACTAATAAACAAGAATTTAATAGCAATAATTACAATTCAAAAATACACAGACTTCTTGTGGAAACTTGCCTGAATATACAGTGGTGCCCCGCTTGACAACGATAATACGTTCCACCAAAATCGCTGTACAGCGAAATCATCATCAAGAGGGAAAAAAACCAATTGGAATGCATTGAAAACTGGTCAATGCGTTCCAATGGGGGAAATACCTGATCGTCCTGCGAAGATTCTCCATAGTGGGGTCATTTTTCAATGCCTGTAAAACGAAAATAGGTCAGCAAAACAGCAGGAAGCCATTTTGCGAACCGCTGATCAGCTGTTTTTAGATCCTTGTGAAGCAAAAAAACCCATTGAATTATCATTTTGCAATCACTATAGCGATCACAAAAAACTCATCGTTAAGCAATTTCCTCGTCAGGCGGGGCACCACTGTACAAGATATCAATTGTTTTGTTACTCTATAGCACTTGACTTGATGTCAAGAAACACTGCTCTTAAGTTATGCTTTAAAGATTTTATCAGGAGGAAACACTTTTGTTACTTTGTTCCCAGTTCACATTTTACTTTGTCCAAACATCACCAAGCTTACCATTTACTGTAGTTTGGTCTTGGTACTGGGTGAATGTTTGTGGCTCTCTGCCACTGACTGCCCCAAAACTTGGTGAGAAGCTGTATCTTATGTTTTGAAAATAAGACATACCTGATGTCATCAAATTTTGGAAGTAAACAAGGACCTGGCCTGGTTAATACTTAGGAAGCTACCAGCGAATGCCAGGATCTCAAGTAAGGCTAGGAAAGCATCCTGCCTGAAATTCTGCAAAGGCACTGCCAGTCAGAGCTGACAATATTGGATTAATATTAATTGTCCAACTTGGTATAAAGCAGCGTCCTACATTCCTATGACACACTAGGCTTGGAAAAATGTGACAAAGAGCCAGAAAATGCTTGAGGCATGACTACAAAAACAGACTCCAGAGAAAGGTGGGGTGCCTGCTTGCAATTTCAGTTCTGAAGAGCTTCAGACTTTTCTAGCTGCTACTGCCTCAAAACTTCCAAACCCCAATGTGAATGCAGGAACATGTTTTCCAACTGTTTCTTCACTTTGCACTCACCAAGTTAAAAAAATTAATATACCACTGGCTCAGTATAGAATCTTGCTCATCACTCAACCCACAACAAACGTCTGCATTCTGATTCAGAAATTTCTCTTTTCTACTCTCACATTCCTAACACAGTTAATTGATATGCCCCATTTGCTTGTCTGCTTCTGTTCCTGCTTGTCCTTTAGAGTAACTCAATATTTTGTAACTGAAGTTTAGTCTTCAGTTGCTGCTTCCTTAATTTATCTTATTAAGACTCAGACATCATATGTAAAGAAAGTTAAGGCAGAATCAGCCCTTATTCTCAAAACAAATGGGTAAATCCAAAATTAGTCCTACTTAAAGTAAATTAATTTAAAGTAGTAGGGTTTTTTGTTAGTTATTATAACTAATAGATGCCATCTATTTTAACGGGTCTACTCTAGGTAGGACTAACATCACATTTAGGGCAATGATACTAAGTAAAGACTTTCTGTTTAAAGAAAGTGGAAAATTTCATTAGGTACTAATACTAATGGTCCATCTCGGTACAGATTTACCATACTATGGTGTCAAAGAAAGGCCAAAGAATTCTGTATTAGAAAAAACTCATGAGTTACATATTGGTATGCTAGTACAGGAAGAAAGTACTACATCCCTCTACAAAGGTTACTCAGCTATAAGTCTTTGGAAACAAATCTTGCTTTCCCCCCTTAATTTCTCTAAATACTGCTCCCATTTTCTAGTCAGAAGAAAACACTTTGCTCTTGTTCTATTTCAACAAGACATTTTTACATCTAAAGCCTAGAGAGCCATTAGATGGACAACATTTTGGCATAGACATTCCAAGCTGTTGCCATATCATTCATAGTAGGAGAGCTACTATGATTGAGAACATGGTTCTACTAGGCATAAAACCATTTCTACAACTAAGGGGGTTTAATCATCACGACTGGTAGTTAATACCAGCTAATGTTATTGGTTTTAATTTCTAATGTACATTCCTAGTTTTCATGAGAGAAAACCAACCCCGAAACAGTTCAAGTAATGTTAGTGCTATTACCCACTAAAATGTTTCTTCTTTATTATAAAACTACTGCTTTAGGTAAATGGGTTCACAGATAAAGGGATGTATTTATCTCCTTGTCTGCAACAGCTGGGAGAGAAGTATGTATGGACATATGCCACAGTTTTATCTCCCCCCCCCCCGTTCCTTTGTATGGAAGGCAAAGATCCTCCAGGACTGGTGGAATGGGCTGTACCTCATTTGTATGTTAAGCAGGTGTTGGAAATGCAAAGGCTATTCCTTGAGATGGTTTATCACAGTAAGCCCAAGCCTTGAATCAGATAATATTGTAGCTGTGCCATATCTCCTACCACAGTCATACAAAAATTTCTTATGTTTACTATTCTACTCATATCAAGAGAGTAACAGTAGAAATTGGGAAATAGCAAAAACTTTTCATCAGGTTTTCAAAGAAAGAAAGAAAGAAAGAAAGAAAGAAAGAAAGAAAGAAAGAAATGAGCCAATATTCTATTTTGACTGCGAATTCCTAGGAGCTACTAAAAGTACAGTGGTGCCTCGCTTAATGAGGAAATCGCTTGACGATTAGGTTTTTGCGATCGCAAATGAATGGTTTAAATGGGAAAAATCTGCTTCATGATGATCGGTTCCCTGCCTCGGGAACCGATTTTCGCATTACGATGATCTAAAAACAGCTGATCATCGGGTTTCAAAATGGCCGCAGGGTGTACAAAATGGCTCCCCGCTGTTTTTAGGAGCCATTTTTCGCTATACAGGCACCCGGAAATGGCCACCCTTGTGGAGGATCTTCGCTAGACGGTGAGTTTTCAGCCCATTGGAACGCACTGAACGGGTTTCAATGCATTTCAATGGGCTTTTAAATTTCGCTTTATGATGTTTTCACTCTACAGTGATTTCGCTGGAACAAATTAACATCGTCAAGCGAGGCACCACTGTATATAGTTATTAATTCCAATTTGCCAAACCCATATAAGGGGTTTTAACCTCATTCTAACAAGCTCACTGTGAAGTAAGCTTTTACCAGCAATTAATTTGCTTTATGTAGTTGACTTGTCCCTTTGAAAATACATTTCACAATGAAACAGTTGTTTGTAAAGTGCGGTGACTTTTTTTTTTAATTTTTGTTTCACAAACTAAGAAAGTTATGTAACTGGATTTTATTCCCAAAATAAAGCTTGGGTCACACAAGGAATGACACTTTCTCTTGTGTATTTGTGAACTCATTAGACAAGAGACTAGAAGAAATTAGGGGGGAAAGGAAAGCCATTGTAATAATATTTAATAATTGCTATAGAGAGCACTTTGGTACCCACACCAAATTCATATAGCAACTACTTGTGAGTTTATGTTATTAGGATACTGATTTGACTTAAGGTTCTGGTAATTAATGAAAGAACCAGCAAACAGTAATCTGGAAGTGTGAAATGTAAATGAAAAGTATTATCTGTAATGTAGGAGTTTGTATGTATTATATTTTATAATACATGTATAAGCCACTTACTATAGCACTGCATTGGTGCTAATTTACCCTAATTGTCACTAGAGATGTGGTTGTGAACCTTTTTATTGCTTGTCTTTGGCACTGTGCCTGCAGGGAGACTGGGAGGAAGATATAGGTTCACATCTTTCTTTCCTTGCTTGTATAAGCACCCATTCCTGTCTCTAGACATAGATCTGAATAGAGACATTCAAGCAGACATGGGATTTTCCTGCTCAGTTACAAACTTACACTGAAAGGAGACAAGCAAGGATCAGTAGCAGGAGAGCGGGCAGGGCAGAGGAATTACTTGATTTATTTCCAACCTTGCAGCAGGCACAATCCAATTTTTTTAAAAAACAGGGAGAGCAAAATCTATCAGCAGAATAAAGTAGTGCCCAGAAAATGTGTATCCCTAATGCATTTGCATCCTAGCCAGGTTAGAAACATAGATTTGCTAAATACAAATCAAGTTTCCACATTATTTTACTGTAGGCAGCATTGCAAACCTTAGTCTTTCTTGTCACAATAATTTCTCTACTGCTTTTTTCATTTACTAGGCGCACCTGGACAGTAAACCTGGCAAGTGACAGCACTATCAGAGTTTCAGCAGAAAACCCCTTTATATGGTTTTGTGTCAGCTGGTAACACCTTCACTATCCCAGGTCTGGTATCCCCACATTGGTCTGCAAGCATATCAATGTCACATGCAAGTTTTGCAGTTCCTGCAGTCATAGCAATGTCACTGACAGTTTGATCTGCTGGGCAAATTTAGAGAGAATTCTGAAGTCCAAAATATACAGTCTTTGCAACATAGAGAAGGATTAAGATTATATTCCTTAATTTATATGTTGTGGTGCTTACATATAGGATCAAAAGTGGTTCCTTTCTCAGGAGATATGTTTATATTCTATTATATCAAATGTTCAAAGGAGAATTTCTCTTTCTGCACAATTCTCACAGGATCATGCTGAATTATAGTGATACCAAATAACTCACTACGCATCTGTTCTTTGCCTTATTCAAATGTTCTGAAGGACTGCTAAAGAAGACTCCATAAGAATTTCTCCTTTCCTAGAACTTTATGGACTAAGGATTTTTAATGCTTAATGATGTAACTAAGGCGGTTTGTTTAATGTTTACTTTAAGTAATTTACCTGAATCATCCATAGTTTTATGATTCCCATTCAAAAATTATTGAGCAAAAGCTAGTACAACCTCAACATTTTTTTTCAGTTTCCAGAAATTCTAGTTCCTGATTTCCTCAGTCTCACACTAGCAAGAAGCAACAGTGCATACAATCCATCCATGAGCAAGAGGGGAACATTGATTTTACCTGAGCAATTCCTGTGATGATACATCAGGCAGCCCCTCGGCTCCCAACTGCTAATACATGATGCCAATGAAAAAAAAATCATGTATGGTTCCACTATCTCTTGCACTTTTCCTCTCCTAAGGGATTTCAGTGTGACATGATTGTAAACAGTTGATGATCAACCAGTGCGATGCTCTGAATGCTTTGGACCTACCGCTCTGATCCTAACGTACAATACATTCACCAACAGAAATAAGTTTTTTAAAGGCAACAAGTTAAAAAATTGTAAACTGGATTCAATTTCAAACACACACATTAATACAAGTACTTTCCACAGTCTCCTGTCTTTCACCCTGAAAAATATACCTGAGTTTTAGCAGGTCATGAAAGTTTTAAAGTCTTTCAAACAGGTCCTTCAAACCCTGAAGAAAACCAAGCCTCTGGCAGAAGTAAATCAATAATCTGAGACACTCCCAGTTGTTGTGGCTGCCATAATGGCTGGTTCAGATCCAGAAAAATTCCACACCTTGGAGGGTCTTGTGTTCCACCAGTACTTAGAAGCCAAATGCTGCTGAGAAAGATGATGGTAGAAATCACAATCTCCTTTACTCTTCTTCAGTCACAGGAGGCTCTCATCTTCTTCAAATCCTTCACTTCTTAGACTAGCTCTAGAAACAGAGAAACAAAATTGACCATCACCTGTTCCAGAATCATTACTTTTTAAAAAGATGGGGCTTGTAGCGGGATCCAAAAAGGTGATGTGGGAGGAGCCAAGGATAGAGCAGGAGGGGCGGAGTTAGAGTGACAGTTAGAGGGAGTTGAAGAGACTGTTAGGGAGAGTTGGAGTTAGGGAAAGATAGAAAGAGTCAGGGACTAGAAGATGTACAGAGAAGGTTAGGGTTTAGGAACAGGTTAAAGAGGTTTAGGAGAGAAAATTGAAAGTAAAACACATGTAACAAGCAGGAATGAACGCATAAGCATAACAAGAGAGATATAAAATTGATAGTAAAGTGATTGACTCCATGATCTGAAAAGTACTAACACCTGAACGAACTCATATATGATTTTCCCGTTGTTTTGGTTAATAATAAAAGAATTCTTAATCATAAACCCTGCTTCCTAAAGTATATGACCTATCTGGGGTGGCAGTTCCTGTGTGGGACTTAAAGTGGTATTAGAAAATACCTGGTGGCAGCGAAAAGGGCGTGTTTACCTGTGTGGAGCCCAAGGAAATAGGGGCCACAAAGGGGTGACCGCCACAGGGCTCAATGTCAACCAAAGGTATGCTAGCTTGTTTGCTATATTTGTAATGGCATTCAATATTCCTGTGTCCCCTCCCCCTTTAAATACGAACAACAGAGATGAATGAATGATCAGGAAAACAAAACCAATTTCTATTATGAGCAGTGAAGTAGCAGGTCCGGGAAGATGGTGTTTTTCTGTCAATATATTTGTAATGGATCAGGTCACTATATTGTAAAGTCTTGAACATATGAAATGTACTCATATTAGTAAAATACGTAAGAAAGACTGTAGGTAAAGTGCAAGCATACACCTGTTGCTGGTTAACAGGTAGAGTTTGAGGCGTGAGTTGCTTTGGGCAGGTGTAGCTGATTACGGGGGCTCTTCCTGTGTATAAAGGTAGCTCGGGTTCAGGAGCAGTCAGGTTGCTCTGGTATAGGAGTAGTCATGCTGTCGTGTTATACTGGGTTGTGAGTAACTAGTTACTGGATATGCTGTTATGTTATCATGTTATCCTTTATATGGATAAGCTGTTTAAGTTACATATGTAAATATAGATTATTTTTCTAAACTAAGTTTGACCTGTCTTAAGTTTTGCATCCAGAGTTAAAGGAAGAGCACTGAATTCTGTTAAGTTTCCACCAGTTCTCTCCAGGGAGCCACATTCTTTCTTGAATCAATTTAAAATGTTTCTACTAGTACATGTTTATGTATACATGTTCAAAGTATTGCAGATATACAGTGGTGCCATGCTTGACGACGACCCTGTTAGATGACAAAATTGCTTTACGATGACATTTTCGCGATCGCTATAGTGATCGTAAAATGATGTTTCTATAGGCAATTTTCGCTTTACATTGAATAGTTCCCTGCTTCGCTTGATGATACTCTTTACAGCTGATCGTCGGGTTTTCAAAATGGCCTCCCGCTGTTTTCCGGACCTATTCCCAGAAGACAGTGATCGAAAATGGCTTCCCCTATGGAGGATCTTCGCTGGACGATGAGGTATTTCCCCCATTGGAACGCATTAACCGGTTTTAATGCATTCCAATGGGTTTTTTTACTTTCGCTTGACAACAATTTCACTTTACAGCAATTTTAACGGAACGGCTTATCGTCGTCAAGCAGGGCACCACTGTACTCTCAACATTTTCAAGATTACGGCACGGGAGAAAGGAAGAACAAATGTTACAGATGACAAACCTGTTTTCCTTCTTCATGGTCTCTATGCATTCATACATGTAGGTGAAGAATCGTAAGCTCTTCTCTGTACAGGTGGGTGGGTAAGTACCCGTAAGAAAGACCCATAAATGCAAATACATAGATATCATGAAGAAGAAATGTTTTTTTGTCTGACTCCCCATTTCCCATAGCAATTTTAAAAAATCAGTCATGTGAAATGTATCCATGCATTTTAATTGCAATATTTTATTACAGATATATCTGGCCTTCAGATAGTTCTGTAAACTGCTAAAAATATTGTACTTTTTATATTTGATGATAAAGAAATGATGTTTCCTAATTTCTTCACTTTACTAGCACTTACTTGATCTAGAGGCAATGCTGATGGTTTTTGTCTTGGCAGCTCTTCCTGGGTTGCTGTTGCTGCAGGCACCTTTGGAAATGGGGCTTGTTGCTGGTGCATGGGCATTCTGGAATTACATACAACAGAGAAAACTTCATGGGCACACAGTTCACCCAAATACATACCTTCCTCTATTAAGAAAACCATTTGGTAGACTAGGCCAAATTCTATGCTTGGTTACAGTGAGTACAGTGGTGCCTTGCATAGCGATGTTAATTGGTTCCAAAAAACACATTGCTATGTGAAACCATCGCTATGCGAAACACCATTTCCCATAGGAATGCATTGGAAACCGGTTAATCCGTTCCAATTGGAACGGATTGCCGTTGTTAAGCGAAAAAACCCATAGGAAACATCGCTAAGCGAAACAATGTATCCTCCATTGGAATGTATTGAAGCTGACTCAATACATTTCAATGGCTTTGCGAAGTCAATTTTTGCAAAATTAAGTGTGTCATAAAAGGGTCAAA